CACTGAAGCTTTGATAAATGCAAGTACTTTCAAAGCGTGAAATTAAAGCATTAAATTAAATATTTATGCAAAACAATATATATGAAGTACTGTGGTCAGTCAGGTATTTTCCACAAAGTTGTTTAAAAGATTGGGAAAAATTGTTTGAGAGGAGTGACGGTATCATATTTGATGAATCGTTTGAAAAGTACAAGCAATTGTTGTTAGGCAAATGGAAAGGGAAGAAAAAAAGGCGCAAAGCCCAAAATTGGGCAAGTATAGAGGTATAACACTTAAAAGTATATTGAGAGAAGGACATAACGCCCAAAAGTATACTACACATATTTTTTTTTTTACTCAAGCATTATTGAAGGCTAGCGTTGATTTTCGACTTTCTAACGGTCAAATATTTAAAGGTAATTAAAGCTAAAGCCATCACTTCAGTAAATATCATACTATCATATCTTATCCTATATTGTTTTTTAATAGGTTATATTCACTTGCAAGCAGCGTTGCAAATAATGCATTGAAAAATAATTGAATTAACATTCGAAATTTTTTTTATTTTGTAATTCACAAAACCTTAGTTAAAACTATTTTTTAAAATTTGAATCCCAAAATTCTAATTTGAAAATTCAAAAGTATATTTTTAATTCAAAATTTTTTAATTACAAATTTCAAAAAAAAAACATTTTTTTAAACTTTATTTAATAAATAAATACTTGAATAATCGACGGTGAAAATGATTTTCTGCTTAAAAAAGTCTCAAATTCAAAAACTAAAAATATTTTAATTAAAATATTATTCAAAGCGCTAATAAAAATTTTGATTTTTGAGAAAATAGCGGCTTCACAAAAAAAGTAGTTTTTTGTGAAAAAATTTACACTTCAGCCACTTGATATGATTATGAAAAATCTGTATTTCTTTGATCATTATCTGACAAATATATCTACGAAGGTCGTGTAAAAATTCCAATTTTAAAAGATCAAACTAGCCGTTTCGGAGTAATTTTTCTTACCGACTCTGAAAACGTCGTTTCGAGAAAAACACGGGGGCTTTGGGCGCCGTATATACTATACTAAAAAACTCTCCGAAACTATTTACCGGATCAACTCAAAGTTTTCGGAGAATATTCTCAAATATTCGATTTTTTAAAACCGGTATTTCTTTTAACACAGCTACTTAGGTTTCTTATCTTCACTCGCTGTTTTATTATTTTTTTGCGCTTTTTTTATAACTAATTTCGCTTATTTTATAAAAAGTAGCTAGAAGAATGACCGCGATTGTGCGTTTTACAGACTTCATTTGAAATTTATTAACACCATTTTTTAAATTTTTTTTAGCAAAAAATTCTTTTTACTTTCCTTTTTTGCAAACCACTATGTGCGGCGAATTTCGCTTGCAATTTTTTTTGCTATTACGGAGTTTCACTGAAGGCCGAAAGATAAGTGTTTCGACCAAATAATCGCAATAGCAATCAGCCTTCTGACGTTTTCTTTCGTTAACTACTTTTTTCTAAAATGAGATTCTGTTAACAAGAAATGTGATAATTTTGCAGCGTTATTTCTAACAATTGGGGTCTCTAATAACAATCGCACTTTGCTTTTAACCAACTTTGTACAAGCATTTCAATTGTTTTCGGTTACTGAAGTGCGAAGTAATTTCACTTTTATGACTGATTAGGTGATTTGATAACTCAATAGATATTTTTGTGATATTAAGCAATTCACTGGAAAAAGTAGCGTTAAAAAGTAAGCATTTTACGATGCAACTATTTATACACATTTTTTACCCAAACAACACTATTGTGTTTTTTTTACGCTTAAAAGCAGTAAAACAAAAGAATAACATATAATCAGACACCACTAATAACCAAGCATATATACCTACTAAACTAGTTTGTTCCCGTAAAAATGCTTACCACACTTTATTCTAACACCAACATTGTAGCATGTTTTTCCTTCAGCCTTTCAACCTATTCACCGTTCAACCCAAATAAATTGCTCATCATCTAACCCGCGATACAAACTCCACTATATACCCACCTGTTCCAAGATTTCCACCGTAAAAGCCGGTGGCATTGATTTTTTCCCTTAACACAGCGCGTTAAGTGTGAACATGATAGATTATCCTAAAACAATTTGTACACACAATAAAACGAATAAGTTACGAAAGAAATCAGAGCACGTAAAATCAGTAGAAAGTTGTCGTGGCAGCTTGCGTGCTTGACCAAAAACGCACTCACACAGCGAATACATGGTTTTACAAAGGGTCAGGTCGACACAAATGACAACTAAATTTTGAGTAACGAGCGTTTTGCGATTAAGATATACACACTTGTATATATGTATTTGAGGTTAGCGGAGGATAGAAAGCGAAGGCTTATTTCATGGTTGCTGGATCTAAAGACAGCTTTTGATCTATTTCTTAATATCAGGGTTTTCGGGTTAGAAAGGTTCTTCTTCTACTCTATTTTAAAGTCCAATTTAAACTGAAAAAACTTAAAAATACTGCGACACTTTCCTCTGCTTTGTTTATAAGTTTCTAGAGACTATCGTCTCGGATTAAAACTTTTTATAATTCTTAGAAAATGTAAAAATAAACGAAGTTTCTTAAATAGGTCTTGAAAATCAGTTTGTGAGAGCATGGGCTTTCAAAACTCCTCATTTCTCTTTCAAAATTTGAGTTTAAACGACTGTAGTCGCCATCGTCACGACTCGGCCAGTGAGTCATACTCAGTTTCAGCGCGCGCCGTTCGATTAAAAATACTAATGGGTTTCCGAAGATAATATTCTGGAAGCTTTCCGGCAATGTCTGTGTTAGTTCCTAGATTACACAAAATTTTTTTATTTAATTTATTTTTTGTTGTCTAACTTTAGATACCTCTCTCATGAAAATAATTAATTGTTTAATTTCGCTGTGTATATAAAATTGTTCCCATTTGCTTGTCTAAAGCTATAACTGTAAATCTCATTTGCATAAATTTGACATAAAACGGTAAACACGTGATTGTGCCGGTATCTGGCTTCCCCGAAAATTGTTTACGACTTACACTCGCCTTTTTTCGCACCCAACCTCGCAATGTGGTAACATAGAAAGACACCCATACATAGACATCTGTCTATAATTTGTATGTGTGTGCGCCTCTATAAAATTTAATATGAAGATTCATCCGCTTCATTGCATGCATTCGACGTGTTAACCCAGTTTTAGCCGGCGCACCGCACGTGTTGCTCAGACGCGATGAGTCGGCGGTAACAGCTGCCAGCACGCCGCTTTATGTCTTTGCAAATTTCTTCTTTTTGTTTTTGTCGCACAGTTTCGCTTTCCTTATTTTGCTCATTAAAAAATATTATAGGTGACTTTTATATTCATCATCTTACTCCTCTCTTTCTTCTCTCCGCTTGTATATGTGGTTGAAAGGAAACACCCACAATTTTATTGCATGTGCACTTTGCGAATTTAATGTAGGAAAATCGTGAATAATATATGTTTGTATATAAATTCGTACCTACATAAGTATGTCAATACAGATCATAATTTTCATAAAATTCGAAAATTTCATAAACTTAAAAATTAATGTAGTATAACCTAAAGCTCTAAAGTTCGTAAATCAAAACCAGGTCTGTATTGATGTAATAAAGTGAATACAATAAAAAAATAATATACATATATAAAATTTCATTCAACATAACCTAATCTATATCACTAAAGCTCCAAAAAGCTCAAATTATTTCAGATATACTTTGTAAAACTTAAATAAATACAATTGAAAAGCTTTTAACGTACCAATTTTTTAAAAAGAGTTACTTAGATTACAATTGGACCGAAAACCAACCCAAAACATTTAAAAAAATGGTAGGCGAATAAGCTCATTAAAACTAAAAGCTCTAAAAAAGCTACGTACACACTAATTCCTTAAACATTTTAAGAAATATAAGAATTTTGATGATCATCAAATGCTTTTAAGATATTCATAAAAAGCTTAAAAGCTCTATAATTCGAAAATATATTTATTACAATTTTAAATTTATTTTGAGCTTAAAGTGCCACTATTCTGGAAAAATTTTTTGTTTAAGTTTAATCAACATTTTGATAGGTATGTAAACTCGAAAAAAGCTTATAGATCGCTTAAATTATTTTAAAATAATTGTTATAGCTAAAAAATTTTAAAAAAATTATCGTTACTAACGCTGTAAGCACTTAAGTGCAAAGATCCAGCAATTTAAAAGTATGTTAAAGCTTTGTACACTCAATATACTCGTGCATACTAAGTTTTCGTGGGTAAATTTTTAAAAAGTAATTTATTTTGTATGAAGTATACGTAAATTGAAAAAAAATTTATATTAAAGCTTATACCTCCTAAATAAAGCTCTCGATTGCATATATATGGAATGCTTTTCCATTTATAAACGAACTCTAAAGCTAAGTAGGACTCAAATGTAAAGCTTTGTAAAGCAAAGTGATTGAGAAATTGTCAAACTTGAGCTTAAGATTTCGTTGTTGCTCAAATATCAGAAATCGTAGACCAAAGATATTCTAAAAGTTTTTAAAAGCTTTGGGAGCGAACTAGATGTTCTAAGTTCATAAATTGTTGTTAATTTTTTATTATTTCTCACAGTTTACTTCATAGGAACTTTCATTTCGTTAATTTTTGTTCTCATAAAAGTTTATTGCTATTCCCCACACTCAATGGTGACTTTAGCAGTAAAGCTTTATATAAGCTTTTTCTACACGGTTGCTTTTTTATGTTTTTTCCATTTTGTTTTTTGTTTTAGAAATATTGACATTCTTAATTATTGTGAATAATTTTCGATTCACTTTTCATCAAAAACTTAAAAAAAATCACAAAAAATATAAACAAAAAGAATTTCGGTCAAAATTCGCAGTTTACACGCGTCAATTAAAAATTTAGGACACAGTTCGTCAACCACAGGTGCAACTCACCGAACATTTTATTTATATAATAACATTATTTCAATTATTTAATCAATATTTTTATTAAATTTTTCTTCTTGCAGAACCGAAACGTCGCCGCTTTCATCCGCTGCGCAATCTCCGACGCATATTTCGTCGACGTACGATCACCAACGTACCGGACACACCGCCGAGCGTCAACACAACCAACACATTGCCACCGCCCACCAGCAGCACCAGTGAAAAGAATCTGCGCAGCGCTACACTCTCCTCCATCTCGTCCGCGGTGTCGGCCTCATCACCCTCCTCACCATTAACCCACCAACAACTGCAGGACGCCTACTCATCACAATCGCTGCCCAAATCGAAATCGTATTCGATTAGTGGCTGTGGTGGTGCAGTTGGTGTTGGTGTTGTTGCCGCTGGCCATAGTGGTGGTAATAAGTCCACACCGCATAGAGATGTCCTGTTGGCACAGGTATTAGGTGGTGGTGGTAAACACAAACAACAACAACATAATAATAATAAACAACAATTACAAGAACAATTGGAAGAAGATAACGACATGTATACAACACACGCCACACACAGCACAACATCAGCACTGTATCATCATCATCAGCATCAACAGGTGGGCAGCAGCGGTGGTGTGCTCTTCCAGCCGCCACACTCGGTGCGGCAATCGCTGGGCGTGGCCGTGCTGCCTAGCGCCATAAATCGCAGCTTTTACGCTGAGCGCCAGAAGTTGCGCAGCATCGGCGACTCGTCGCAGGAGTTGGATAGCAGCGGCAATGATAGCGGCAGCGCCAACAACACGGCGAGCGGCAGCGCGAACGGCGGTGGACGGTCGAATGGCTGTGCGAACAGTGAGATGACGGACAGTCAGCGTAGCCTTAGCGAAGGGCGCTTGGTGGACAGGTAGGTGCAAATATATATATATATATACATGTATATATAATATATATATATATATATTATAGACCGATATGTATGTCACTTGGCTTTAATTAATGTACCAGTCACGTTCATTGCAAGCCGCCGGCGGCTTTTTCTTCTTGCGTTTTGTTTTTTATTTTGTTTCGTTTCGTTCACATAAAATATGTTGTTGTAACACTTGTCATTGCTTACGTCAATACAGGTTCGCCGCTTTGTGTGTCACTGTTGTTACTGGTTTGCTGCTTTCGGAAGTCGCACAAGTGATTTCCGGTGCCGGCGTAACAGTTTCACTTCAAGCCACGCACACACATACATACATACGTAGACGCTTAGTCGCTTGTTTTTTGCATCTCCTTTTTACGCCTTATCGTAACGGCAACGCATGCAAATCGATTTGGCACACGTGACTCAACGATTTGAAATTTATTTTTGTTCACTGTTGCATATTTTTCCTCTCTCTCTTGTCCGCCGTATTGATTGACTTTAAAATATTTGCTTCCCACGTCTCGACTAATGGCAATGTTTATGTGCTTATTAAGTTAGTTTTAGAAAACAGATAATCAGTTGAAATAGTTAATGGGAAAAAATAGATAAGCTGAATAATTGAGTTTAAAAAAAAGTGTATTGTAAAAAATCGATAAAATTTTCAATATTTTGATTTCATTTTAGTTTTTTGAAAAAGTAAGGAACTTCGGCACTGCCTAGAAGTTGAGATTAGCACCGTTGTCAAGGGCTCTCAATAAGCAAAGATGTCACAAAAATTGTTAAATAGATAGTACTGCTTATAGTAAATGTTTTCTTTAGTTAGTATTCGATGAATATACAATTTAAAGGTACCCCCGTGGGAGCCCACGATCACTTGGAGTAATATCATTACAAAATATTTACCGACTAAATGAACCGAAACCGAAAAAATTAAAATTCATTGAAAACCCTGAAGGCCATCCCTGCACAGATTTATTATAAGTGCAAAATCGGATTAAGTGTTGGCATGTTTGCATTGGCTCAAAAAGAGCCTGTTTTGTAGGCGATACTGAAAATTTGTATTCAAATGCAATCAAATGTTTTTTTTTGTCAGTCGGGGTCAAATTTATTCAAATGGTAAGCTGTGGCAGGCTTAATGTCATTAGAATGCCAGCCGAGACTACTGTACCCTTAACTAATATTTATAAAGTAATACCCTGGCACTAAAAGTATACTTGGTTGCGATATCAAGTTCCGGTTAGCATCAAAAAATTTCCTGTTAAAGCCGTTTCCTACGGCAGGCAAAACATCGAGCGTATTCGGTGTGGAAACATTTTTTTATAAAATCCAATACACATGCGGAGGCGGCCTATATTAAAACATGGCACCCTAGACTAATAGAAGGAGAAGCGCAGTAAAATAATATTTTTAATTATTTTTGTTTAAGCCAATTGACAGAAACTAAGTCAAACTAAGACCATTCGGGAAAAAATATGAGATGAGGATCTATCTATTGTACTATTAGCGGAAAAATAGCGTTTTTCTTGCTTTGGTTTTAGTCTAGATCTATATTTCAAGATAGAGAATCTATATTAGTTTGCAGATTATGTAGCACTTTATAAACATTTTCGAGCTTAGCAGATTGGCTCTGATATAGACCAGATAGAGAGCGAAACGGGGAGAGAGAAAGATACTGTTTTAGGTAATTCGTTTAGTCTCTCATTGACTAAACTGATATTTGTATTTGGTTTGGTATTCTGTGTAAGAGTAAGAGATATTAGTTAAAAACTCTATAACATATAATATTCTTAGTTTATACTATAAATATAACAAGTCTTTATTTTTTTTTGCAGCGACTACGGTCACGATCCACTCTCTCAATCACACGACAGCGTATTTTCCGAATCGGCATCAGCGAGTCTATTCTCCAACAGAGACTATCAGGTGAGCTCGATGTTTGAACATTTATTAATACAAAAGCACTATAATTAAAAAAATGTAAGAGGATCACTGAGGCTTAGCTCATTTAAACAATCACAAAGATATTCGTATTCCTATATCGATCTTAAGCTAAGCACATAGTGATGTGGAAAGGTAAAACATCGAATGTGTAGCATGACTCAGGCAACATATATCAATTTATGAAATTTCATAAAAAAGTAAAATATAAAAAAAATGCGTCACCCTAATATATAGCAACACCTTAAATAGTAAATATCTATTTCGAATTTCATAATACAATTATAAGTTGGATCACAACTCATCAAAAAAGCAACCCCGCTTTGCAATTGCACCCTCATTGTCAAATCGAAACGTAATAAATTTAAATAAAAGCAAATGCAAATATGCAAAAATATGCACATCAAGCTTAACGATAATTTAGCAATAATAGATCTACACAGATCGTGGTAAAAAGTAACTACAATGAGCATGCGATTTGCCATTGCATCATCTCTAAAATTTTTTTGCATCCATTGTAGGGAGATTGTGTCAGCAAAGTCAAAAACAATAGTAGATTAATCATGAAGGCATAAAAAATATTTTCGCAACACTCACTGTGTTTGAGCGCGAATACAAATCAAGTTGATTGCTGATGGCTGCTGTGGACATCACATCACTTGATTAGAGCGATCAGCTCACATCGACAACCACGAAGATAGCGTGATGAGTTATCTTAGTTGATTGCAATAATCTCAGCATGCACATACGAGTACGTACATCAAATGAAGTGTTTTTGCGTTCATCAAATGCATATCACTTGCATATCACGAGTATATCATATGGGCGTCAGCGACAAACCAAAATAATAATATACATACGTATGTGTATTTAAATTATTAGTTGACAGTAATTATGTCGCATATACATCATCATCATACTATTGTGTGCTGTTTCAGCAAGTAAAAACATCACAATATATCACTAGCATATCGCATCAACTTTTTCGCATATTAAAGTGTCCAAGAAAGATAAAATAGATTAGTAAACGAATTATTTGTATTTTGTAAATTATCACCATCACAACACTTCGGTGTTACCAATACATATTTTATAAACCGCAATAAATGATAGTTCAAAATTATTAACTTTAATATCATTACATATCATATCATATCATATAGCCATATAATATCCTGACATCACATCACTATGTCACATCGTAACATTACAATATCGCAGAAATAACACATTTCATCACAAAAACAGCTATTAGCGTATGCAATAGAATGTAAACAAATACAACAAAGCCAAACACGTAACAATGATTCCAAAAATAATCTAAGACGGTGGCAAGCTTTATTTTGTGCATGACGGAAGAGCATTTAAACTGCGTCGCAGTCACCTACAATTGAATTAAAGCTCAGCTTTAGCTATGTATCGCATAGTGAATTGTGTGTGCTGGGAAGGTCAGAAAGCAGAGCAAATATATTTGAAAACAACATTGTGTTTTGTCGACCTTTTTCGATCTTATCTGCTCTTTTGTTATTGTTGCTTCATTTATGTTTGTGTAATGTTGTTGACATCGTTAGATTACTATTCTTTTCTGTTTTTATTGTTGTTGTCAATGCTGCTGATGCAATCAATTTAAATAGATTTTAATCAAAGTTAATTTAATTTATTAATGCTGTGGCACGATAAATTTCCGAGCGGTCACTGCAAACTGCAACAAGTAATCGCCTGAGTATTGTGTAAGTGGAATGGAATAAATACTGCTGTTGCGCTGGTGGGTGCATGTGGGTAATCGCATCACGAGATTGATTGCATTGATAGTTTCGCCAGTGTGGGAGGAGATGTTTGCTGTAGGCTGCAGCTGACATCAGCGTTTAAGCAATGGGTTGTGCGGTGTGTATGTGTATGCGTGTGTTCGGGTTTTCTTTTGTCTCTTCTCTTCTCTTTTTCTTTTTCACATTTTTCCAATTTCCCTCGGTTTTCATCAGCTCCACTGACATTTGACCTTCAACCTGCTGTGCGCGCACTTCCTACATTGTCTCTTTCGCTTGTTTGCTTGCTCTTTGGTTGGTCTTCCTTGCCCCTTCAATTGCAATCTCAGCTTGATTGATTGAATTTATGCGCGTTTTGACTGCTCACAGCTGTTGTAATCCTTGTCTATGTTATTTTCTTTTTTTTCCTTTATTTTCTTTTCTTTCTTATCCTTATTTGGACCCTTGAGCACATAGAAGTTGGTATTTGTCAGAAACTTATATTATAACAAGCGTTTTATACTATTGCGACATGTTTCATTTTAATTTTCGAGCCTCTCCCCGAACCAATACTTGTTGGTGGTGTATCCTGAATCATCCAAACCGAAATCAATCGATAGATTCCTGTTTTCTGCTACCAGAGTTGCTTGTTTAGCTCCTAGGAAATGACTTACGACATCAACAACGAAAGTCGGGGAGATGGGATATAAAAAGCTTAAATGAAAAACTTAATTATTTTCGGAAAAGGGCAGAAAATATTAAAAGAGAATCTGAGGGACGATCATTGCTACCGTTATCACAATAGTCGGTTCTACGCAACCGGACGGAGCTAGATTTCTATCCGGCAAAGGAATGTCAACTCGCGGCATTCACAAAATTACAATAATTTCTTCGGATATAGAAGATCCATCAGGCTTTCGAATTCGAATGCTGAAAACCAAGACAAGTTATTCATTGATCCCAGATCACTATTTGAATAATTGTAATGTAAAAGATAGCAAGTGGTTTTGCGAAGAGGATGCAAAAATATCGGAGAATAAATGGCATCTATTTAACCACTTTGCAACTTTCAATACTCTGGTGAAATAATTTCAAAATCTCGAGACTCTTTCTGGAATATGAACGCCAGGTAGCCAAAGCATTTGGAAATTTGCCAATGAAGAGGGGAGGCATATTATAAGGTGATAAGCGCTAGAAGTACAACTTATGTTAATATTTGAGGTCATCTTTACAGAAGGTGCCAGAAAACGAGTACGGAGTAAAAGAGCCGATACACAAAAGATTTTAGTATGGAACTTATTCACCTACCAAGCAAAACTGTGGCAATCAAATATTCGCTCGAGTAGTGCTTACCCTCCGAATAATATTGATCTTCACAAAGACTTAGTTCAAGCGCATGTTGTGTTTAGAAAACCTTAATGACCTTATCGGTCTACGCACACAAGGCAAGGCAAACTGAAGTTGATGTTGTCAAACAGGCTGTACACGCCGCAAAGATAACAGACAGCAATTGAACAACAATAAAACACGCCATCGAGGAGCAACAACAAAAGCCGTTGAGATTTTAACTTTACCCTACCGCCACCACACCCGCCGGCCGTGTTGACAGCAGCAATGCTTTTGTGAAATTCGAAGAGCCTAGTAACCGGCGAAGAGATTGCACTGGACGGCAGCTGGCTGTGGCACGCTTGGTCGCTTGGCCGCTACACTGCACGTCAATGAAAACCGTAGCAAAACAAAAAAAAGAACGCTCACATTTTGCTGACCAAACAGGCCACGACGTTAAGGCAGCACGACGGCTAGATCAGCCGACTGTCTTCAGCGGCTTCTTATTCCTACCGACTGGTCGAGCGACTGACCAACAAATTGCCGACGACAACAGCCATGACTGCTTACGCTGTCCGCAGCTGAAGCTTGCAACATGCAACATAAATTGGAAAAAGAAGGAAAGAAAGAAAAAAAAAAAACAGGCTGGCATGTTTGCTTGAAAGCGGTGGAGCGAGGACGGAGGGTATATTGCTAATAGTCTCGGCACTTTTGCTGAAGACTTCTTACTACTTTGGCCCGCTAATGCTGCAACGCTGCCGCTTCGACTGCGTTCACTTGCAGTAACTGCTTCTTCCACTCTTTCTCTGCCATCAAAAAAATATGTATTTGCAATCTGGTTAGCGAAATAAATCGCATTTCTTTCTAAGCTATTGAACTCCGTCTAACTTTTCTATTAAATCAGTTCGTCGGCAGCCGCTCGAAAGTGTGCAACAACACAAACGAATTTCCTCAACGAGTTGAAAACGATACTGACGTATATTTTTTGGGGTGTCAGAAATTGTCTTTTCCTTGCCATAATCTTCTACTTCCCATCCACCAAAGAGTCGAAACCGTTGTGTGCGCCAGTGACCGAGAAATTTGTACGGAGTGAACTGGAAAAGTTAATCCGCTTATTTTGATTGAAAATTTGATAGCTTCTCGTGCATTGTAGCGATAAGCGGCGGAAATGTCGTACGGTTTCGTCGAAGGCGTGTCGTAAAAGTGTAGTTTAAAGTGCGTAGCAGAAAAAATTCGTATGATAATATTCGTTGATTGCATACGTTTTATAGCTGCTTGTGGCAGTAAGTCGCCGCTTCGCGTGTGTTAAGCGTGACGTTACGTCGAAGTGCTACAGAGTGGAGTGGAAAATTGAAAAATCGGCTGCTTTCTTGGTTAACTGTGTATAAAGTGTATTTTGGCAACGTAACGTGGTGCTTTGGGAAATCATAAGAACTGTTTTGAGTTCCACAATTTGTGATATTTTCTTTCAATAACATATTTATATATACTCAAGTTTACTTTTTTGTATGGAGTATAATTAAATTTAAAAGCTTTTCATTGTTTTTTTTTAGTTCATACATTTTTAAGTTTTTTTCAATTGTTTTTTTTTTGTTTTTCATAATTAGTTTTTAAGTTTTTAATTTAAAATTTTTATTCTTTTAATTTTGTCGTTTATTTATTATTAAATATTTTTTTTTATAATTTAGTTTATTTTATTTTTTTCTTTGCTTATTTTTATAAATTTTTTTTAATATATTTGTTTATACCTGTCTTTATATTGTTTCATATATTTTTATATTTTCTTGAAATATGTATCAATTTTTAGTTCGTCAATATAATAAAAAAGAATGGTATTTTTCGTTTCGTTTTAGTGAAAGTGCTACTTATTGACGTGTTTACTGTTTTTTATTACTCGTTTGTGAAAAAATTATGTTG